TTTAGACATTCAGTGAGTTGCACATACACACTCACATACATTCATACACCGTACAGGGGCGAGTACGTTCCGCTGTCGTAGAGTGTACACAAAAATTGATGAAGGCACTGTAGTCATCCAGCAACACGCACCAATGATCAAGTCAATTAGTGAAACCTGGCAGCTATGAATTCTTTTGATGAGCTTCGCGATTTTCACGCACTCACACACACATATACACACAGAGCTGAAAAACAGACTTGCAGATGCTGGCGCTTGTTGCCACAACGACTTGTCCACCTGCTCAGACCGATTGCCTATAACCGTGATAGGAAACTAAAAATCGAAAAAAAAACAGCAACAAAACAACAACAATTGCTATGAAAAAATAGGCCATCATATGCCACATGTCCTTGACGATACCAGTCAACGGTGCAACATCAACAATGACATCGACAGCGACGGCGACGGCGACGGCGGCAACGCCTATGGCTTCAACGCGACTCATCGTTCGCGGTTTTGTGTACAGCTGAATGAGCCACTCTATGGGCACACAACTGGGGCTGTGGTGGCGCAACAAGCTGGTGTGGAGAGGGGGGCGCGCGCGTTCTTTGACGTGGTTTCAGGCATGGTTTTTGCATTTGGTGCCACGTAGGCCGCCCGAAATATGTCAATCATGAAATTGCGTGGCCTGGCTTCGATTTTTTCCGCTTAGCGTGGCATTTTTGTGAGCGTTTTTGGTTTGGTTTTGCTGTCGAAAAGGCGCCTGTGGCGGACGTTTGCGGTGGGAGGAGCGACACTCTTGCGACGCTTTTGTTTCCACTTTTTATAATTTTTGCTGATGCGGAATTTTATCAGGCGCGGAAATTCAGCGCTTCCACGAACGTGATGAGTTTGCCCTGGGTGCAGGGGAGTTGGCCCCACAACTGACAAGATTTTTAAATTTAATATTTTTCGCCTGTGGCGCTTCAATAAAAATGCTATGGAATATTTTAGTACAGATCATATTTAATTGTCCTGTCCCGGTTTGAGGGGTGGGAGGTTGTCGGTTTCGCTATTTTGTAAAATCTGAAAATATATTTCTACTTTTGTTTTTTTTTTACCAGTTGTATCACTTTTCATAATTCCGTCGAAGCAGAATGAAGTTCCGATGCGTGGGAGAGTTCAAGGATCAAAAAGGATCAGAAACGACGAACATTACAATTGAAGATATTGACGCCTTTGTTTCAGAAAACTGTTAGGTTAATTTCGACGGCTGATCCTCAAGATGGCATTTGGTTTGAAATATGTAGTCCTTTATAAAATCATAAAAATATCACTCCTGCATTAAATTTTTTAAGTCGACGAAATATCTTGAGATTAATATAATTTGAATTGGACGTTTAATTTCTGCTCCCACCATCTCAGTGGGATATCTGAAAGTGTGAATTCCCAAGCGGGGTAGTCAAGAAGAAAGTGTTGAAATGTTTCCATATCGTCTTCTTCTTACAGCTTCTGCAGCTGGCATTCGGCAAGATTCTCAACGCGGACGCTGATGCACAATGATAGGTTACGACATCCACAACTGGGAAGAGGCTAGGCTTACTAAGAGCAAAAATCTCTTTGTATCTTTTAAGATCGACCTTGGGTCAAAAGTACTTTAAAAGTACGTTCGTAGTCCAACGCTGGCCAAGCTACCACAAAGTCCTGTTATCCAGTAGTAAAGCGCACGAAGAAAGTGGGTAACCGACCCGTTTCCATCTTTACTTAGAACGCGGCAAGTGTGTCTTTTCGTGCCAACTCGTAGGTATTTATTAACTAGCCTGAACCTATGATTAGTGAACTCTGAGCTAGCTACGGTTCTATCCGTACTACCAGAGTGAATAGTTATTTCTTTGCACTCCGAAGCATGCTACAGTAGTCAGGAAGAGGTAGGGAATATACCCGTCCACCAACCTTCTTCTCAGATTTTGATCCGTCCATAAAGAAGCTCACTCCCTTACACTCCCTTCTAGCTACACAACGAAACTAACAATGTTTGGTTTAGCGACATCATAAACTCAAAGCTGTGGTATAAAGTCAAAGCTTTTACTAAGGGATTTCAGAATTTGCAGACATACTTTCATTTAGAAATGCAGGTTCTTTAAGTCTGATAGCAGCTTTCGCGGTCATGCACCTTCCAGCTGTATATATGAACACTAGGGGACGAAAACCCTACGCAACATCATAGTTGGTTTAATTAGGCTGCAATTTGCTAATGGCTACTTTACAGCAGTCTATATCATTCGTCAGTTACCAGTCAAAATACTCCAACGAGTCAACGAAAATTGATCTCAACCGATGGACCATCTGAGACGTAGCCATGGCCAACATTTAAAATCTTCAATAAATAAATGCCAAACATGTTCTTTCGAATGATAATAAATATTCCCCAATAAATTTAATTTTTTGCTGTTTTTCTTTAATAAGACAGGGAACCTCGATCACCCAAACCAATAATGCACTCTCCGAAGAAATTGTTCAGATCGCGTTACTATATCATATAGCGGCCGTACAAACTGCCTAATCAAAGTTTTTACATTTGTGGAGTCAATTATAGCTTTAGTGCGACCGAGGTTAACGATCTTTATTGTTGATAATGAAATTAGTGAAATTATCAATTAAAAATAGTTCTGAAATTAGATAGATACAAAATGCGGTTGCAATGCAGGTTACACTTCGTTGAGTTCTGCAAAGAATGCTCACGCAGTTTATGCCATCAATAAAAGGGATAAAATGTGTAAATTAAATATGTGATGCTTACGAAGTCAGATTCTTGAACGAAACATTAATTTCGCGTTTTATAACACATACTTATATGCATATCAATGCTTGGAAGAAGTTTCTGCCACACAACCAGTTACTTTTAGTTATTACCTGAAAATTACAATTTTATGCTGAAGCTATCAAGCGGACTACTCGCATTTCTCTTAACACGATTTAATATTCTAACTTATGTAAAGAACGTAAGTGCGCAACTGAAGCGTGTAGAATGAAAAAGTGAAGTAACACATACACTTTCAGCACACAGACTGCTTGCATCAGCAGCTAGCAGCTGAAACGCCATCACATTTTAGCAATTAAACTTTTGCAACTAGTAGCGAACACGTACTCGACTCTGCTCATTTACATACATAGCATCGGGTCTTGGGTACCCGGCCACCGACATCATTTTAATTTATAAAATAAGAGTGATGGCGTAAAATGCAAACTTTACAACTAAGTGTTGCACTTGGCTTTATCGTCTTCGTTATGTTCGTTGTTTTCGCTAGTGCTTTTTTGTTGTTTTCTTCAGCAGCACTTTTTATATTTGCATGCTTGCCAAGTTGCATGGCATGGCAGGGCTGCGTGGCAGTTGATGTGCTGCAACAGCGCGGCTTGCCAGAAATGCCAATTTCGCAAGCTGAACGTCAATGCCACGTGCCCCAACGCATTGCACCCTCTAAGCAACCAACGCCACCCAGCGCAGCGCGTACTGCACTGCAGGCGTTGCATCAATCCGTTATTTGCATTTTTCTTATTTACATTCAGTGGCAAGTCGCAATTTTTTGCCCGGCTGCCAGCACCCAAACACACACGCCCACGCACCCCTGCYGCCCCGGCTGGCCATAATTTTTTGCTGGCGGTCAGCGTGGTTTTGTTCCACCATGGCTTGTCCGCTTAACGGTCCGTTTGCGCGCCGCCCACCGCCCGCCCCACACTGTAGCAAGCAAGTACGTTGGCTGACCATTTACGCGTCTATTTTGTATGCAAAACGATTTATTGCTTTTCCGAATGACTTTCGACCAAAGTTTTTAGGTCGTTGCTCATACGCCGTGGCGACCAAACTATACAACTCAGCTCAAGCTGAGCGCATGTGGCGTGTGTTCACTTCGTTGCGCTGTGGCGCTTTCCTGCGGAGATGCGGATGTGTGTTTGTGTGGGGGTGTGTGCATGTGTGCGTGTGGCGCACATGTCCGTGCGCGTGCATTTGCATAACCTCTCGCCCCCCTGCTCCCCTGCTGTGTGCTCGTCATCTAAGCTCGTTTGTGCTGCATTGCCATGCGCTGCAGTGTTGTTGTTGCAGCACAACTCTCGCTTGGTCGCTGTGCGTTAATCCTTGTCGTGGTGTATATCACGGTAACTTTACATAAAGGAAATCAATATTTTCCTCGAGTTAGTCGGTTCGTTGGCTTAGTTTTTTCCCGCTCAGCTCAGTTGCCCATTTGTTGGTGTTGTTTTGCGTAATTCTTTTTAGTTTCGGTTTGTTGATGACATCCTTCCTTCCCGGCTTCCTGTGTGTCCAGTGTCCCACAGGCTGCTTGCCACGCTGCTTCGGCACACTCGATGTCACCAGCGTCGGCTGGCATTTGCTCTGGCATTAACTCTGCCATAAGCACAAATAGTTAGCTGTTCGCAGTGTTGCTGTTGTTGTTGCCGGTGTCAGTGGTTCGTTTGCTTTTGTTGGCCGGCAAGGCGTATAAATCGCAATATGCAAACTTTGGGGACAGGTCCTGCATCCTTGGCGCGCGCGTTGAGTGTGTCGAGTTATTTGCTGCATGCCGAGTTTTCAGCTTTTGCAAAGCCCACACATGGCTGTATGCATGCATGTATGTGTGTGTTTGGTGTTTAAGTGTTTGCCTCATCCATGATTATGTCTAATAGATGTCTAAGTCAATCGTTGTTTAAACGTTTGACATGTGCTTGACTTGACGCAGACACACAAGTGCCCGGGTAATAATTTGCAGCACTTATTGTCTGATTGCGAGCGATTTGTTATACCACATGTGCGGACTAGGCTGCTTGTGAATGATGCCATTGGCGTAGCGTAGCTATTTAGGTTGTGAGCTTTAGTGTTTTTTTTTTGGTCCAAGGAATCTGTGTTGCATATATACAGGCGCATTGTGAGAGGAAGCTTTCTACTGACATATGCATTAATGTGAGTGTGCGTGGGTGAATATGTAAACATGTAAAATTCACTGTGGCGAATGAATTGCTGACATTTTTCTTTATTTTTTTTATAGATTTGCTCTACAACCAGATCAAGTTGAATTAGTCGCTAAGTGTTATGAACAGCTGTTTAAAGGTGAGTAAAATTGCAAAGAAATAATTTGATAACAGTTTTAGTCTTTTATAGAGTTTGTACTAATTTAAGTTAAGGTTAAGTTAAAATCTTACCCATCTTATAGTCCTTCGATATCAGCGATTACAACCAATATGCTGCTTCTTTGAGACGAAAGCACATGCACATAATTCCAGATTCATATCTCAGAAGCTGATGGACGCTGCATCTCCTTTATTGACGTAACGAGCGTCGCTGTCTCTTAATTCCCTGAATTATGTCAATGTTGTCGTATATCTCATACAGCTCATCGTTCCATCGAATGGGATATTCGCCGTGGCCAATGCGAAGAGGAGAATAAATCTTTCGTAAAACCTTTCTCTCGAAAACTCATAACACCGACTCATTAGATGTTGTTACAGTCCATGCGTCTGCACTATATCGCAGGACGGGGGTGATGAGTGATTTGTAGAAAATGGTTCAAGCACTTCACGAAATCCGATCTTAGACTGGGTAGCTAAAAACATCCGTTTGAAGGGTTCCAGGTTCCGTAAGCTAGTAATAAATTTTTTGTGGTTACAGCTGATATCAAATGTTAGTTTACCGGAGAGTTCACCGATTGTGCGTATGACACTAGCACGCTTCGGTTTTATATTCTATTCTTTAGGTTGCAAGTTAAATTATAAATAGTTTTCTTCATTGCTGTGAGTTGACTAATTACTACTCCCTCGGTATTATTCGGATGAGTCTTTAGTTCATTTTGGACTGGTTTTAGCATTAAAGATTATAGCTGTTTAATCTTTTGTTTTATCTTGTAACTGGAAACCATTTAGAACTCTCTCCCTATTATTTCCTGTTACTAATTTGACATCCTCAAATTATTTAGAATTGTTCTTCGAATTTTACAGTCGTTGTTCAATGCTCGTATTATCATTTCAGTAGTATGTAGAGAAGTTTTAAGGCGTGCTGCCTAAAATTCTTACTCTACAGATCTCTTTGTGTACCTTGCTAGATATTTTTAGACAGTCAAGGGCCAAAAATACAACTAAATTGAAGCATTTTCATAAATACATCCGTGAAGAGCTCTCACGGTAAGAACTTTAAACACATAAAATATATATCAGAACAGCTTCTGATACTTTTCTTTCCCCTCAAAATTCAAGCCAAAAGAATACAGCATGGTGAGAGTTGTGTGTTTGTGATAATAAAATATTGTCTACAATTTGGCGCTTTGTGAAGTATTAAAGTTAAAAAGGTTCAAAGTTCAAAACCTAGCTACCTGACGAGTAATAAAGTATATTTTTAGCGAAGTTTCAAACCCAGAGCGTTATAACGATATTAGGTAGCCCCTCAGTCATAATAAGTTGTAATTACGCTATTGAATAAAAATTTGGTATTTGGTATCAGTTCGATAGGTCGTCAATATATTTTGAGACTACACCGTGAGAATAATTTATTAAAATTTGGTTGTTCCTGTTGCCGTTATTCAAAATCAAATTTGATTTGTTATCGACTCAGACCTTAGTCCCACTTGGGATCCTACATTGATTTTTACCCTATGTACTCACTCCAAAAAGTGGAGTTCTTTGATTTTTAGCCTATTATTCCATTGTCAAATAAAATAGTATTGGCAAAGACTATCAGCATTATCTTCTAAGCCACATAGGTGTGGTACTGTTATAATTACAACAATAATGCCTATCGTCATTTGAGTGTATTTATTCAACTTTTTAAACACCATTTTAGCATTGAAATTTAACTAATTGCCATAAAACCCTAGTTAGCGTTCTAAGCGTTCTTCCTCTCACATAATTGCAGAGAGCGCGCCACTGAAATTCACTCAGATAATAACTACTAACCCAATTAGAGGTGCCTAATCGGATAACACTCGGTTATACCCACACATTAGGGCGCACACATGCCTATAGATAAATACCTTTTAAACAGACACGCTCGTGTCGAAAATTTATTGGACTAAAAACATTTTGATTCACTCAGAAAGTTTAGCCTGTGGCGAAATAAATTGCACAAAAGAAAGTCAAAAGTCAATATAGGCCGACAACAGCTTCACCTGCATGTCATAGCTATATGTATGAATTAGTAAGTTGGTGCAACGGCAGCAGCAGCCAAAAACCGAAGCCACACACACAGACACATACGAATACGCAGCAAAGCAGACGCACACAAAAGCCGCATGACATAAAGAATCGAAAGCAGCCGCACAACATAAAATATAAACTTTGACACCCGACGCATTTGCTGCCGGTGCCCCGAAGCATCATACACACACTCACACACACATAAGCACAATGAGCTAAGCTCAAGCTGCAATGCACCAACGAGCAACTCAAGCACCATATAAATGGGCATACGCACACAAGCGCACGCAGGCACTCATCTATTGTGGCACATTTACACTTATGCGCCCAATACGTATACATGTCTGTGGCTGTGTGTGTGTTGTATGCGTGAGTGTGTCTGCTTGTGAGTTGGCTGCCGTCTGATATTGCCTACTCCCAGTCTGATCATAAATTTAAGTACCGCAAATCAAATTCAATTGTGTGAGAGCAGAAATACCCGCTTGATTTGAGCACACCCGCCGGCCGCCTTCCTTCAGCAGCAGCGGCTGCAGTGTCAAATTCAAATTACAACAAATTCTCGCCTCCAACGTTTAAAACCGAAATTGCCATATAAATGAAGTACTTACGATCATTGTATGCTGAAGCGGTGTGTAGAGACTAGAGCGCCGCCGACGGGTTAACGGTATGTTGTTGTGTGGTGGTGCGGGTGTATATTTGTGTGTGCGTGTGTGTGGGTTGTTCTGGTTGTAGAGGTGGCAAAGTTTGCTGGCATACGCTCCACATAAAATTGAGTGCCAAAAATTGTTAAATGGGGCGTACATGAAAACTAAATGCACACATATACACATTGACACACAGCCATACCGGATGCTTGCCAGCGGTCATATGCGCATGTGTGGGTGTGTGTGTGTGTGTGATATGGCTGCAATGTGAGGCCTTGCTCTAATGAAAGGCCGGATGAATTTTTAAATTTTGCGCTGTGCCAACGGGAGCCACAATATATTTTTCTTGTTCTCGTTTTATGTTGCTGTTCACACTTAGGAGGCTAAGCAACAGACGTTGGCTATGCCAGCAGCCGCATAGTACATAAATGTAGTAGGTAGGTCGTCGGTAATCCAGACTTAAAGCTACAGTGTGACCGAAGATTGTAAAACTCGGGAAAACGGTTATTTAAGGGGTTACGAGGGTTTCCTCTGGGAGAAAACAGCCCTTCTTCAAATTTTTTTTGATTTAAAAAATGAAATATTTTATTACAATTTTGTATTTTTATTAACAAAAAAATTCTAAAATTTTGGAAAAACATATTTTAAATTCGCCCATTTCCGGTGACTACTCGGAAGCGCTCGCGTTGGCAGTATAACTTATTACAGGATCTTCTAAAGTGAAAAAATAGTCTTTCAGATAGCAAAAAAAACTTTGTGCTAGACAGTTTTACAAAAAAAAAAAAAAAAAAAAAAAAAAAAAAAAAAAAAAAAAAAAAAAAAAAAAAAAAAAAAAAAAAAAAAAAAAAAAAAAAAAAATTTAAATGTCACTGAAATCGCGCCATTTTTTGCAAACAGTTGTAATAGGAAAAAAGTAGTTAGTCCAAGTCTCTAAGAATTGTATCTCATAGAGCTATTGAAAATTTCATGACGATTTCAAAATCACCGTTTCGAGAAAAACCCGTTTAAAGAGCGCACAAATTCTCAAGAGTTTATCTCAGAAACTATTACTCGGGTCAACTTGAAAATTTAGGACAATATTCTAGAGAGAGTTGTAGAATTTAATAAGTCAATAAAAAATTCGATTTTTTGAAATCCGTAAACCATAGTAATTACCCAATAAAAACAAGAAAAATAGTCATACTAACCATAAGATTGTTGAGTTTTCTTGGATAATAATCTGTGGTAAATTTCATGAATATATCTTGACAAATAAAAGAGTTGTTTATATAATTTACGTAATTTAGATGTGTCGTTTGCATGGCTGTTATTTCAAAGATTTCTAGATTTTCATCACCAGAACCTCGTATAAACCGTAGCTTTTTCGGCAAGTTCATCGAAGATGTGTCTAGCGAGATATTTAAATCTCAGCCTGCAAAGGTTGGGCAGTTGAAAAGAAAGTGTCTAGTTGAGTTCTGCTTAATTGAGTTGAATCAAAAACCATTTAAAGTTGGTTATCTTGGCGGCATTCACTAAATTATTACGAGGTTTCAAATTATTATAAGGCTGTTAAAACAACAACAATTTAATCAGGGTCTCTTATAAGTCAGAGGTTTTCTTACATACAAATATATTTTCTCCAATCTCATTAATATTTTCAAATTTAGCTTTTATTGCTATCTAAGAATCCTTCTCTTAATTCTACATCATCCTCTATCCTGTATAGGACAATGGTAGTTTTAGTCTTGTTATTGTCCGCAATTGATCTCTGAAGTGTGGTTAACTGTACATAATGGACGTGTTTTCTTACTGATAAAAACTATATGCGAAAGGTTGACCTTGTCTACCGAAGACAACGGATGTAATATATTAATCGCTCCCACGACAGTTGGGTCTACGTAACCGGAACGGCCCCGGATTTCAGCTGTGAATAGTGAAGGAGGTGTAAAGTTAATAAAAAATTACTTCATATTATAGTGAACTATGAAACCCTCCGGAGATATCGATTTTTTGTTCAAAGATATGATTTTAGATTTGGGATTATTTTTTAGATTGTAAATTTTGGGAGATTCGGAAAGTAGAATTAAGTAGATAAAAATATGGATCTAAATCGTGACATAGAACTTTTTTAGGTTAAAATTAATCCAGAGACTGTACGATTACGATTATATAAGTATTTAAGTACGATTGCTAAAATTTAATATTTGTTTGAAGGTTAAGCTATCGGAAGAACTAATCAAAAAATCAATTTGTAAATTTATAACAAAAGTTCTGACAATATATTATTTTAATAATTTACAAC